ATTTATTAGATATAAAAAAGAGAAAAAATAAAATCCAAAAAATATTTTTTAAACATTTTTACAAAGTAAAAAGAAAAAAAGATAAAAGACAAAATGCAATAAAAATTAAAAGTTTCGTATAAATGAGTCGCACATATAAAAAATAAAAGTTTTTAAAAATATATTTAAATTTAAAAAGTTTTTAATATTAAAAAAATAAAAAACTAAAAACACAAGAAAAAGGAGAAAACTTGAAACTTACACGTGGCACAAACCTTTGCTCATCGTACATGAGCAAATTTTATATGTAAGATATGAACATCCACTTGAATTGAAGTGGCATATTTTGTTAAATTTTGATGGTGGCATGGCTATGTACAATATAGAAAAATTAAGATTATATAAGTCTAATTGTAAATATTTGTGTAATTTTCATTTATTGATTCAATGAAATTAAATAATAACCCAAATCTGATAAAAAATAATAACCTAAATGAAGAAAGAGATAAAAAAATAAAATTCTCATCAACTTTTATAATGAAAATCAGTAATATACAATTTAATCAAAGAAAACTGGAAAACCTTTATATTTAGGTAATAAATATGACTATAAACTTTTAATTTGGTACAATTTAAGCATGTAAATGAGTTTATATACTCTTGAATTACATGAACTCGACTCAACAATTATTCGAACTCGAATCGCTTAGCTTTGAGCACGCTGAATTCAATTATTTTAATATCTAATTTAAATATTTAGTACTTAACTTGAATAGCTCAAGAGTCTATTTAAGTTTTTATTTTTAATATATTTATAATATTAATATATTATATAAATAAGTTTTAATTATCTATTTATAACTTTATCTTCACTATATATTTAAAATAATAATAATTTTTTTTCAAATTAAACTCAAGTTTAAGCTCGAGAATGAAATAATCAAATTTAAAATTGAACTTATTATTTGAATTTGTAATTTTTACTTAATTACGAATTTAATTAAATGAGTTTAAATAACTCGATTTTTATATATATTGAGTCGAATATGAAATAAAAATAAAATTTTGGTTGAATTTGAATTGAGTTTTAAATTGAGTTATGAACCCTATGAGCTCAAATTTTTTATTGTTTCAATTCAACTTTAACTCATTACACCTCTAGGTTCAACACAATAATAAAAGTTTTGATTAAATGTGAAAGGTAGCATACAATTACTATAACAAAGATTGGTCTTTAACTTATTCAAAAAAAATTATTGTTTCTCTTTGTTTAAACACATTTTTTGCCTATCGTTTTTTTAAGAAAAAAGATAAATAATAATAAAATAAGAATAAGGTGAAACCCAATTTAACTCCTTATGAAGTTCATGGATGATTTTATCATAATTAAGAGATGATATTTCATTGTCATTATATTAATTTTTTAATGAAGTAAAGAGATAATATAGTTTTATATTTTTGTAAATTTCAAACTTTTTGATTCGACATCAAAAATTTTTCTTTAGTAATATAATATATAAAAATATTGTGTTTATTTAACGGAAGTTGAAATATGACCGCACTGATTTTTCTTGTTTTACATCATTGTTTATATTGAAACACCTTTTCAAATAAATAAAATATTCAAAATTTGAAATAATTTAACTAGGGTTTTTACCTAGAGCTTTATTCTTCTTTTTTCATTTTTATTAATTGTTTTAGCATGTATTTGATAATTCAAAATTTATCCAAAACCAAATATGTATACTTCCATTGAAGAATGCTCCTAGGGGAATTTTTTTCTTTCTTTTGTCTTTGGAATTATTAGAACATCTCAAATGCATGTATTACAATCAATTATTGTCATTTTTTTCTTTTGTTGTTTTTTTCTTTCTTTTTTCTCTTTTGTAACTTATGTTCCAAATGCATCATCTCAATTTACTACTCGAGTGAAGACTCAATATAACAATCATCATTTTTATAATCCACTCAGATTATTCATGTAATATCTATTCAGTGAAGGAGGAAAAGCATATCGCGCAAGTCAAGATTTTGTATAAAAGGATATTAGGAACATAAGGTACTTTGGTTCTTCTTGTAAGTTTGCCCCAAGAAGTGGGCAAATGATAGCTTTAGGGAAAAGAATTAAAGAGCTTTTGGTTTACAAAGGAAATTTGAGTGCTGATAGCCTTGATATTGAATCACCAAAATTTAGAATTTTTAAAAATGTGCCTCATGTATTGGCTTATAAAAATTTTTTTATAAAAATGTTTACAAATTTATTGGTTATTTCTTTACTTATAACCCTAATAAAAATCATTAACTTTGAAATCCTACTATGATTAAGTGGAAATAAGGTTTATAAAACTCCAACTTATGTATCTTTAAGGATTCAAGCTTTTGAATGATCTGGTTCTCAATCGAAATGAAACATGAAGTGATTAGTGATATGGTTGGGGATATTCCTTCTTGATAATAATCATTAATTCTCTTAGGTAGTGTTTGATATATGATGATCATTCAAAAAATCATGATGATCTACACATGGTGATTAAATCACCCTATTTGGTAATCGCTTAGTGATCTTGCATTGTGGTGATCTTGAATCACCAAGAGTAATTAGATCACAATCTTAGAGGGTGATTTAATTCTTATTCAAAGGGATGAGAAACTTTTACGATGTAAGTAAAGTGATATGTAAAATTAACCATAGTCAATCTTATCCCTATTGAATTAAATTTTTTTTTAAAATTAATTGTAATTATTTTATGTTATAATTTTTATATTTTAAAATTAATATTTATTGTAATAAGTTCAAAAATATTTTGTGTGATTTTTTAATTTTTATTTAAATTACTTATAATATAATCTTTTGATTTTAATATATTATTTTTTGTCTAATTCAAATATTTTTTACATAATTTATACTATAAAAACTAATTTACTATCAATAAATATATTTTTAATTTAATAATTTAATTATATTTATAATGAAGTAAATAAAATATTATTAATATTTTATATACAAATTGTTATCTTTAAATAATATTGAACTCATTAACTTGTGTAGCTATTTTAAAGTGTATGGTTATTTTGATACTTTCAAATAAAATAATATTTGATTTTTAGTAATACAAAACAAAATTATATTTAATTATTAGGAATTAATGATTCTTAATCAAACAAAATCATTTCAGATCACAAGTGACAAATTACCTTAGTAATAAAATCACTATGATAATTAAATTACCGCAGTAATCTTGAAAATGATATCAAACACTATTAAAAAAATTATTTTCACTCTTTTATTAAAAAATATTTTCATATATACACTTGAAAAATAAGTTATGCAAGAATTTATGTTCAAACAAAATTTAAAAATATAATCTTTTTATTTTTTCATTTTTTTCTTGAAAAATCCTATAAAAACAAAATTTAATAAAAAAAATCAAAAACTTCAAATGGCAAAATTCATGAAGTGATTCATGGTGTTTTAAACTCATTCATTCAATTCAAATATTCATGTCAAATCCTAGTTCACATTCTCAAAGTGATTAATATTTATTAGGAGTTATTTTAGTAGTGGGTGATTTTAGAGTTTTAGAATAAATATGTTATTTTGTTTTAAGGTTTGTAAAAGGCTAAGAGACAAAAAGAAGGTATGAGGCTCAGAATGATTGAGAGTAGCTCAAAGAATATCTATGCAACCGAATTGAATTTAACAAAAAAATTATGTGTTTGTGTGGTAGCCTTTAGAAGATGAATTTGTTAATTGACAGTTTGTCAGATTAATAAAATTGTTTATTGTATGTTAATTTCAAGTGTTTTTAATATTTTTACTTCCCGTAATTAAAGAAAATTACTCCAAAATTTATGATTCCATCGGAGAAGTTGTGAAAATGATCAGAGATAGCTAGGAAGTCTATTTGATAATATATATATATATATATATATATGTAGAAATTAGGACCAAGACTAAGAGACCTTAGCTGCCCTAACCAATTTGTTGCCGTTATCAAGTTTGAATTAATTAAAAAAAAAAAAGGCATGCTCTCTTTTAGGAGAAAATTAAGCTCGAACTAGTTTTTTTAAGCATGACTGGCATTGCAATTGTCAATTAGTCGCTTGTGGTACGGTTGTACACGTACGTAATTCATTAGTATTTTATTTTGAGTTGAATAAAGAAATTGATTGGAAAACCTTCTGCAAGTTTCAACTAAGGTTATAAAATTAAACATGTTGCATAACTTAGATTCTCCAGATATTTATATTTTAAGAATTTTTTAATATTTGTAAATATGCTGAAATTATGAACAACATGATATAAAGTGGCATCCTTCAGTAAAAATATGTTGAAATTGGCGTAAAAATACTTCAGTAAATTTGCAGATTTGCATTGAAAAATATTTTCAGGGTTGATGATTATGTTTCCAAGCTGGGGACTGGGGTTGAAAAAAGATGCATGGCGTACATCGATTAACCTAACTGATTTGCATTACCAGAATGACAGCCTCAATGACTATTGTGCTTGAAAATTACAAAGCCACCAACTGGAACAGGAAGGGCATTCAAATATTTCAAATGAAACAGAGAAAGAATTACTTCCTTTCCAATAGGACACCATACCTGAGAGAGTGAGAGGCTTCAGGAATCCAAATTCTTGAAGCTTTCTGCGAATTCATGAAAAGAACCAGCAGCATTATGCCAAATTAATTAATTCCATAGCTTGAGACCCTTACAATCCTCATGGCTGCTGCTGGTGGCTAGAAAATTTAGAAAGCGGTGAATGCTACAACGTAATGCTTTGAGTAGCACTTCATCTATCCCAATCTGATAATAATACCTAGTGTCGATCAGGTGCCTTCGCTTCTGTAGTGTCCGTTTTAGCGTGCAAATCTCAGCTGTAAATTAAGCCTAAAAAGTTGCCCTAGAATAAGTTGTTAAAGTCTTTAGCAAGGCAGTTAATAGCCATCAAATTTGGCAAAATTGTCCAAGAATGACTAGCATTTTTGGAGGCTCCAAAGAACTGTTGGGGCAGATAGCAGAGCTACCGGTATAACAGGTTGTACGCTGGTAAATCCTGTATTCTATGCACATCATCCAAAGACAGTTCTCTCTGCAGTTGTGTGCGTGTTGCTTGTAAAACCTCCTGCAGGATTTAAAAATACTAGAATTAAACTAACAATTGACATCAACCAAGCAATATATTAAGATTCTAGAAAGGAATTTTCATGGAGCCATCATCACGGGAAAAATAAGGGCCGAGGGGTCAAAGCACAATAGGTAACACGGGCGGGAAACAAACCGAAAATTCTCAAAATATTTACAATATCTTTTTTTTTCTCCTTTAGATATAAAATTATAGGCCAAAAATGTATATTCTTCTAGATAATTAAGCTCCACTCCACCCTAACAGGGGCATTGCAGTTGATTGTTGTTCTGGAGTCTGGACCCTGGTTGTTTTGATGTATTAAAAGGTGCATTCTTATGTTGACTCATGAGGTCAGATATCTTTATGATATTGGAACATGATACAAGGAGTAAAATGCATCCATCATCCTTACCTTTTGTGCACTGTTTCATTTTTATCCACAACTTTTAAAATTCAATTTTTGAATCCACAACATTGAAAAATATTTCAAATGCATTCATACCATCAACCATTCTTAAAAATTCAATGAATATGCCACCTCAATATCACATGGATTAGCATGTGGCATAAATCTTGCCCCAAGAGTCAAGAAGGCCCACACCATTTTCCAACGTGGACATTGATGTGTCATTGATGAGATAGATTACATTGGGGTTTGGTGGAATAGATGAGTTTGAAATATTTTTAAAAAGGTCAGGAATCCAAAAGTTGAGTTTTGAAAATTGCATATGAAAATAAAATATTGCACAAAGATCACGAATGCTGTTGCAATTTATACTAATACAAAATGCTGTTAGATACTGTGAATGCCTAGCCAACTGTAATGGCCGAGGAGCATAATGATACTTGACTAGATGAATGATTGCTTATAAATCCTTTCATGAGCTTTTATGTTTAAAACTGACTTCCACATAAATCAACACAGCATCTTTTTCTGTCCAGTAACCATAGAGGAAATGGAAAGGGTAGAAATAGATGGACAATTTAGATGGTTTGGGATTTCACTTAGAGCAGCAATGGAACGAAATTAAAATAGCAAAACGAATCCATAGTTTGGAAGTCCATAGGAGGAAGAAAGTTTGTCAAAATGCGAATGTGAGAATTAAGTGTAAGGAAGAGAGAGAAAGTACATTGAACTCCATGTAGGAAGCATGCATAGCAAGCCACTGAGCGTCCATCATTTCAAAAGCTATACAATATAGTACATCAAAGGCATCTTCATCTTCTGCAATTTCAAAATTTCAGATCGTGAGACTGAATACAGAGAAGCAGGAAACAAAAATCACTTTCATTGATCCAACAGTGCTTCAGATCCACAGTTCTATTACCTCCTAATAGTTTCAGGAAATTGAATCCTGGTAGATTTTTTGGTTTTGCTGCAAAAAGAGAGAGAGGGGATAGGTTACAGAACAGCTAACACATTTTTTCTATGGATCTTAAACCATAAAAGATGTTTGCATTCTATCTCAACAGATCCTCTAAACATAGAAGAACATTCAGAAACTTGTATTATTTGTAGGATCTGATCAACGAAAATATATTATGATGAAAAGATTGTCTTAAAACATGGATAGTCCATTGAATCTACAACAAAAGAATTCCATGGTCTTTTTCATGAGTAGAGCAGAGGACACTCAAGAATTACTGGACAATGAAAACTGTTGACAGAAACAGACATAGAACAGCTTTATTTCAAAACAGAAATGTTTTTCACTCACTACTATTTTGACGTAAAAATAGGAAATAGACAAACCTGAACATAAATCCAACATCTGAATCAACATAAAAGACACATTGATGCCAGCAACCGCAAATGGGTATTCCCAAGTTGCTCTAATTCCATCTTGCTTAAATAATAACCTACGAAAAGATGCCTTCATTTTTGTGTTGTTATATAATTAGTAAATATGCCATTTTTCTTGCAGAAATCAAAGACACGTAAAACGTTAACTAAAATGGAAGAGAGGGCTTACAGGATAAGTTCGGCCAAAAAACAGCAAGTTTTCGAGTGAAATAAAACCGCAACCCCTAAGGAGAGAATTGTGTTAAAAAATCAAGTGAATGATTAGAGAAGAAATGATTATAACCTCTAAAGCAATATGTTTCTTCCCCTTTTACCATGATTCATTGTTGGCAAGGGATGCATCGTGCGTTAAAAAGTCGGAAAAAAGAACTGTACCGAAAGTCAGTTGATGGATTAGGGCCTTGCCACCCCATTTCCTTCCACTGTTCAGAGATCAAGCCTTTTAGAACAACATTAGGAAAGGCAACGTGCCACAATGCTCTGAGAGCCTCCTGTCACACCAAAGGATCCTGAGATCAACTGTCTACTAATTTGTATGTCATTAAAACTGAATAAAACGAAACATGATGAAGCCAGAAAAACAGAAACCATAACTATTTACAAGTTGTAGAAATTATGACAGATAAAAATACTTAGAGATGGGTTTGCAGGAACTCTCAAATATTACTCCCTCTAACCCACCCCAAAATATATGTTTATGTATTTATATAAACTAATCTTAAGATTTAAAAGAAAAAAGAATTGAGAAAACCCGATTGCCTAAGTCATGTCTGGTCACAGTTAGAAAGATAGAAAAAATATGGATGTTAAAAAGATTGAGGAAAGTACCTGATGATCAGGACAAGTCTCGTCAAAAGGTGTCCGTAATCGTTCTTGAAGCTTTTTAAGTCTTTGTTCCTGGTCAGAAGTTAAAGAAACTAAATCAATTTTATTATTACTGAGGCTGAGAATGGAATATATATATATATATATATATATATATATAAGTATATTAAAACAAATCATCCTAAGAAAATCAATACTATACTGTAACAATTTTTCATTATTAGAGGACAAATGCCACAAATTCCCAATTACCTGAACAGGAGTCAAAGGGTAGTCAAGAAACTTCTCATTTCGCTTGTTGCTTGAGCGATTAAAGAGCCCTCCTATCCATGATCGTGATCCAACCATAGCATTAGCTACAACCATAAAAGACTGATCAGACATTAGAGAATGAGTTGTAAATAAAATGATTTGCTAGTCAAAGTGTTTTCAATGTTGAAATTGGTTGACACAGCTGAAATTCACTAAACTTTGTTTGTATGTCAATGAAAAGTAGGAACTGAACAAAAATACATTTTCATGACAAACATACTAAGACAATTAAGACTATCCCGGTATGGCAATCTTTAAAGAGAAATTCATCCAAAGATAGGAATGACGAAAGCATTTATCAGGAAAATCTACTCACTAAAACATTGAGCCAACTGTGATATTACGTGAGTGGAACTGCTCGGCCATTCCAACTCTTCATCGCCCTTCTTTTGTCTCCAGTAAACTTCATCCTCATCAACCTACATTTGAATTTTCAGCGCACCTTTCAGTACCAATTAGTTGCATAGAATAAAAGTGCCATTCACCTGGCAAAGAATACTAGGCTGCAAAACACATGATCCCTTTTCGCATGGTTGAAGGTTCAAATTTGGAAGCTAAAATACATTGTGCCTGTACATAGATTGCTATATTGATAATTAAAATCCTAACTATTCAATATATGCTGTAATGCTTTCATTCTGACACAATGAAGAACAAGAGACATAATAAACTGCAGAAATGGAAGAAATTTCTAATAAAAAAGGGTTACAAAAAAATAATGAGGCAAGCACAGAAAAGAAAGAAGGAAATTATCAAATATCATTATCATCAGTTGATTCAATTGAAATATTACATTTACAAAAGATTAATAACAAACAATTAAGCTAACAGGCATATTTAATTAACAACCTTGCAATAGCTACACGGATCAAAATTAGGGAGAGACAGAAAAAGGGGGTTGGGGGGAGGATTACTCTGTGAAGAGAAGAGCAAGAAGGAAAGCATTGTCGACGCTTCCTTAATCTCATGAGGGGACCAAAAATAAAAGATTAGATTCATACATTCTTTTTAACCGAAAGCAAAAGGAAGAGCAAATGAAAAATAAAAATAAAAAATAAAAAATAAAGATTGCAAATGGGTGGCAAATGATTGCAGTAAACTCATGCTCCATCCCATTCAACCCTCTCATCATTCCATCTCTCTGAAAGAGAGAGAAAGAGTCCAGGAATGGAATGATGACACAAATACAAAGATACCCAGGAAATGAAAAGATGTAAACTTTTTGTTGAGAGCAAAACATTAAGAGCGCAATCAAAGGTCACTTTTTGCATAACTTTATACTGTAAGAAAGTTTTTTTGCATCCCAAAAGAACAAATTCCAGGTAAAGCTTGCAATGCAAAAGAAAGAAATGAAACGAGGAAAAGTCGTAAAAGGAAATAGCATATGTCTCTTCTATGGAAAACATTGACATGCAATGCAAGACAAAACTCACACCCCCCCCCCCCCCAACGGATGCACACGCATAAGGAATAGAGAAAGAGTAAAACCTTTTACTTCGGAAGGGTTTCTCTACCTGTTATTGCATGTGTTGCGAACAAATTTTGGTGATTAGTTCCTTGAGAGGCCCGGTTGGGCAAAAGGGTGGGGCCAGAAATGGTAGAGGAGGAGGAAGAGAAAGAGAAGGTGAAGAATGGCTGCATGTTGTTGTCAGATAGAATTTGCATGGAAACAATACTTGGCTCGTTTGGGCGTGTGCGTGTGTGTGTGTTGTTGTTGGGGGGGGGGGGGGAAGAGGTGGAAGCAGTCTTTGTTGTTTTTGTTTCTTTCCGCCTAGTACGGAAATTGAGGCCATTCAGTTCCCTGATTACTTGCCTTCATCGTAGCACTTGGGTGGGGCATTACATATTTTTACAATTGTTTCTATGTCCCCGACCCTCAGGTTTTCTAGGCTTTAGTCTTCTTCGCCTAACTTGGCACATTCAGCCTGGGGTAGGCCGACAGAAATCAAATCAATGCTTGAGTGCTTTATCTTTGGAATATCAACATGTCACATGGATACTTATATATTTGGATTAGGTACCTCGTACCTGTGCTTAGTAGGCGTACTAGGTCTCAAGAATCAAATCAATGCTTGACCAAGATAGATTGAATCTAATTGGAGTTATTATTAGCCTAAATTTGTTAGAATATTAGTTTAAATTTTTTTTTTAAATAAGTGATTTGTTTAATAAGTTAAAATTATTTTTTTTATAAAAAATTTTTGAAATCGAGTTTTTTCGATAATGATTTATTAGAATCATATCGAACATACGATTTATAATTATTTATTTTAAATTATTAAGTACAACACATTTTATCTTGATTTGAAAGATTTAACAGTCTATTTATCTTTAAATTTTTTGAAACGAAAAAAAAAAAACTTAAAGAAAATCAAACTTTATAAACAATGCGTTTCTTTTAATTCAATCCATGAACGAGGAACTAGAGTAAAGATTGCTTCTTGCACAAAAGCTTTGAGAGATTGACAGAATGTGATGCGTATTGTTTACAATGGTTCCTTTTTTTTTTTTTTCATTGCATCAAAAATCAAATGTGGACTAAATGTTCCAAGTTTCATTCCTACGAATAAAAGAAAACTCGATAGAATCTCACATAGTAAGGTTGAAGGGAGGGCTTCTTCCTCTTTCTCCTCTCCAAGTTACGTCAGCGATTGAAGGCGATTGCAAAAATCAAAAGAAATTATTCTCTATTGATTACAAAAAAGGAAGCCAAGCCTACTTTACAGGGTAAAATTGGACAAGGCCAGCTAAAAACAAGATATTAGAGGTGTCAAATGTGTACGGCATTTATGATTAGATACAACATCACATGACACAACATAATTCGATATGATATGCATGATATTTGATATGTTTGATGTTAAATAATTGGGTTGGGCCAAATATGATATATATATATATATATATATATATATTGTGTCATGTTAAAAGATTTTAAAATCATGAATTGGTATGGTACTACTCGTTAAAAGCTACCGTAAGCATGTGACACATGATTTAGTGTGGCATGACATACATTTTAGTTGTGTCATATTAGTTCATAATTATAATAAGTGGACTCTCAGCTTTTGAGTGTATTTATATTAATTTTTTATTGTAATGAAATTATACTTATTTTTAATATTTTATGAGTAATTTATAAAATAAAATTATATTAGAATTATTTACTAAATATTTAAATTATTAATAGATAAATTATATTTAGTTAGTGATTAGCAAAAATAAAATGATAAAAATAAATTAAGACTCTAAGCACAAATTCAATTAATAAAGTAAATTACTATAGGATGAAAGGTATAAAATAAATGCACAAGACAACACATAATATGAGTGAATTATCAAATGAAGAGAATGAAAAATAAAATAATAATATTGTATTTTATAATATCTTTTATATGTTTGTGTATGTTGTATTTTTCTTTAAATATTAAGATTGTAATTATTTAGTGATTTTATTATCCTTCTTCGTAGATATAGGCATTTTATCGAACAACATAACTTATATGTTATTTTTGTTTCATTTTACTTTTATTTATCTCTAAATGTTATTTTTAATAATAGATTTTTTTAAGAAAATTAAATTTTAAAAAACTATTAATGGTTTGTACTTAGCCTATCATGACACAAAAATCAATGTCGTGCTTGGCACAACACGACCCATGAAAGTTATGAGTTATGTGTCATGCTAGACGTTACCTTTAGCCTTCATAGGTTATGCTAATGTTACGGATTGAGACTCAAGCTTTAGGCTCACATGGCTCTAGGACGTGGGGATAGACTCTTTCGCATCCCAGATCAGCCTAACACAAGAAACGGTGCATGAACACACAAGATTGTGGTGCTTGGCTGCCCAATACGCTGCCAAACAAAAAAGGCACAACAAATGCCTGAAAAAGGCTAACAAAAAAAAAACAAAAAAGGATTAAGGCAAGAGTAAGGATCTTATTACTCAATAGTTATGGTTTCTTCCCTTGTGTACATGAGGGTGGGAGATTCTCTATTTATAATTAAAAATCCCTTACAATTAGTTCCAAAATACATGCCTAAACTCTAGGGATTACAATAGTTTAAATATCATAATTCTAAGAGATATGATACAGTTCTTGATTTTAGGGGATATGATGTTGCAACATATTTTTAGCATTTTTTATTCAATCTAAGTGAAAATCTATCATGGTCGATTCTAGGCCTGTGCTCAGCATCGCCCGCGTTTGGGCTTGTACCCATGCCCACATCGGGGCCCGATTTAGTGTTGCCAACTTTGATTGTCTCAAGTATGTGTTTAGGCATGCTCGTACCTGGGCTCGACTGTGCACTCGCACCTCAATCATTAGTGCTCCCGCCAAGGTCTAACTAGGTGCCCGCGCATGTGTCCACCTGTGAGCCTGCACTACCTGCATTTAGGCATAGCTTGACAGTGTCAAACTTGAACACCCTACTTGAGCCATTGGAGCCTTGATCATTGCCCACACTATTATTCTAGGCTGGTTTTTCGCAACCTAGACCTCCAGTGTGCCTCAAAGATTGGTCCCCTTTGCTATTAGACTCTGTCTTGCTAGAACTTAAACTGTCACCTAACTCAAAGAGAACCTCTAGGCCTGGACTAGCTTGGGGATCGTGACATTCTTCCACTCTCATTCTAGCAATGCCTTCGTTGCTAAGGGATGATGCACCTGCTTTGCACGTCGATTCTGACTCTTGCCCTGCGATCTATTTTTCAACATTTTGGTCCCATACTCGAACATGTATTCTATTGGCTTTTATTGCTCTTGATCTAAAATTTCTTAGCATTCTACTACAATGGTCTTTTTGGCCCACGCTACCAATGCTTTTTGTGCTTTCTTTAAGTTGCCAGTAGCACACTGTTTCATGAAAAATCTAGCTGCACTCTGAGACTCATACTGTGGCACTCGGTTGCCACCGATTTGCCTTCGCCAACTCCTTGAGAGGTTTCAACCCCTCTATAATATCAAATAGCACCCAGTCGTATCACCTCGGGCTGTTCATCCTCGCTACTGCAACTTTTACCTTCAAACAGCCTTTCTACCCTTTTGATGGCTGCAAACCTCGCATACATAAAGCATTCCCTAGCCTTATGAGGAA